TAATTAAACGCGAAAGATACGTAACGGTACGCCACGCTCGTAATTCTGTAGCGTTCAATACAGGATTCGCTGTGTCCGGAATCTCGGTTGCGAGAGAATGTTTCCATAAATCAAAATACCTCTATCTACCATGGACGCGTTGCAACTCTCGATTCAATCTTGCAAGATTGCAAGTCAAGCCTCGTTGAACGCTCGCGAAAAAATACGCGTGCACTTAAACTTCCTTCGTATAAATATTTATACGATATAGTTGGTATAGTTATTACTTCTTATAATTATTAATACGTTGTTATCGCAATTTACGAGTTGCACGTGCTGCGAGGGGGAGGGGAAGGGGGGAAGGTAACGAGGTTTTACTTACACTATTACACTTACAATTAGCACGAATTTATCAGCGGATATATTCTAATTGTTGATTCCTGCTTTAAAACAGAACTCTTGCAGTAATTAATTTGTTCCTTCATTCAAACGTTCGTGTTCGAAAAATTAGCTTGATTACCTAAGAATCTTTGCAACTTGAGTTTTTAATTTGAACTTAAATTTAACTTATTACATTAAAGTACTTAATTTAATTCTGAAATATCTTTCACACAAAAATGTCATAAAGGAAAGAATTAAGATGGCTCTTTAGTAAAGTGCCGAAAATTTGGGCCTCAGTAGGGTCCACCCAAAATTATAAATATCTGCATAATTTGGATGAAATATTAAAACTACGTATATATATCTTAAGGAAATAGTATGGAACGTACGATAGTAAATCAAAAGCTGCATTTTCATCCAACAAAAACAAGAGATGAGATTATGTTTACTTTTCGAGATTAAAGGACTATGCCCAGTTTTATAGAGGAATTTGGGATGAACAACTTTGAGACATGCTTCAAATTTTAAGATATCAAAAGAAAATTCCATAAGCCCAACTTTAAGAGAGTTTCCTGAGTGTTAGTCAAAATTCGCTATTATGACCATGTCCCACTAGTCTTATCCAATTTCTCTGCGTCCAGGACACCTCCTCGTGACGACGATAACGGATTGTACCAAAAACATTGAAATAACATCTAAAATGTATTTGATACAGTTCATTAATCCGGTTGACAGTTACATGGTATCCAGGATGTGCCCAACACTTTAACGAAGACATTCATATACCAGCAAGAACAGTTAATGATATTTTTTTACTTTTAGAGAGTTCCGATGAGAAAGTTAAAGAGAGATAAGGTCCATATATTGGCCACATTTCAATTAGGCAATTAAAACCTTTTGTTCCATACTTTGACTATCTCTCTCCCCTCTTCATCGATTAATATATATCACTTATAACTAACTTCATTTGGAGTCCAAAAAAGGTTTTAGTTGTCTTCATTAAGATTGGACATATTCTAGATACTAAATTCGAGAAATCGTATAAAACCAGTCCTACATGGTACACGGTACATGGTCATAATAGCGAACTTTGAACAGCTGTAGTACTCAAAGGACTCATTTTACAAAGTTGTGCATATGGGACTTTTTAACTCTTTTTTTTATGCTCTACAATCCTAGCTAGGTTTCAATGCTGTTCGGGGTCCAAACTGGGTATAGTCCTTTATATGCAGGTTTATGCACGTAAATATCTTTTCGGAATGGTCGTTGACCTATTATTTTTTGGTGTAATTAAAATCATAATTTTGTAAACTAGTATAATCTCGTTTTTGAGAAAAGTCTATGGTAAAATTTGTGTGCAGTTAATCAAAAAAGCGTCTGTGAGCCTTATCTGTCATGAAATTATATGTGAAAAGTTACAGTTTCAACATTTTCTCTCTCTCTCTTATTTCATCGTTAACCTACCGTAGAATTTTGTACACGTCAATTTCGGTATTTCAACTTTATTATTAAAAAAATTAGACGTTTCTATGGTAACTCGATTACTCGATACTAAAAAAAATCACCTTAAAAAAGTATCACTTAAGCCTCAAGTTACTCACTTACCAATTAGAAAATCATATAGACGTATAAAATTATTTGGCGACTTATATTTACTCGTTGTTAGGCTACATATTTTCGTCGGCTATCTCGAGACACAAATAATGGAATTCCGCAGAGGCAGAAATCAGATGAGGATCGAGACGTGTATCAGCGTATGTCGCAAAAAGGGGATTAAGCATAATACGTAGTGTTGGAAGAATCAGATAATTAGTGAACGTTACCTCGATACTTTCGTGGGATGCGCCTCACGGGCGTCACCTCGATTCCGTCTCCGGTGACTGGGTTGCGCGTCGGCAATCCTCCTGTCGAGGGGATGCGGTGACGGGGGTGGCGGTTTGCGCCGACCGTTTGACAGCCCATGTTTTCGCCGCCACGTGCGCACGAAGCGACGTGCGTAAGAACCCACAGAGCCATTTCACCCCATGCACCGTAACATCGTCGCAAAACCCACAATCGTAACCCAACCAACTTGTGTTAATACGCCGCAATTTGTACGGACGGATCGCAGATACTGTACTATTTTGTCCCTTCCCGAAAAAATTATCGAGACTTTAAGTCAATTTCGTATACTCTATATCGTGAATGTCTTTTATATTGTTTATCTAAACTGTGTAATAATTTATTATGTTTGTTGTATGCGCGCGTATATATAGAATGTCCCAAACTTTTTGACGCACCATTCGTAGGCAGGTAGACCGGACTAAACTGAATGAAAAAGTCCTGTATCATTTTGCAATATTCGCAATAATTAACGAGATATTAATTTCTAAAGAGTACCGAATAAGCGGATAAAATCGACGCGTAACAAAATTTTAAGATATCTTTATCTAAGAGTTCTTTATGAAATATCTCAAAATGTAAAGATGTTTCTTAAAGAATTCTTAAAGATATCTTAAAATTGTTCTATGTGTTAATTTTAGAGAAATTTTTCGATTCAGGAAATTCTAGAAGTGTTCATCGAATTGACACTGAAAAACTCGATGAACACTTTTGGGACTCATCTTGTCAGTTTAGTTCGCTCTACCTGCGCGCAAGCGGTGGGTCAGAAAGTTTGGGACACTCTGTATATATAACATCTTATTTCAGAGTTTGTGACATCAAGCATTTAAGTTAATATTTCGGTGTCCATTATTGATTAAAGAGCGTTTTCGATATCTTAGATTCGTCCGTACTACAAAATGAAGATAAAAGCAAAACAGAAACGGTGTATGTTATGCTCAAGTTGTGAAGGAAGGTAGATGAATATTTACATAGCAACAAAAATACAGAAACAGTAATGAAATCGTGAGAAAGCAGGACAAAGTGGCACGAGTGTTATGCCAATTATGAAAAAGAAAAACTTTGCCATATTTCTTATCACTACCGACAATTTATGTATAGATAGACCGTCCGAATCTCTTTCTGATATTAATATGCTGGTGTTATCGTGAAAAAATATTCCCGCGGTACCGTTCGTGCTTTTGTTAAACGGATCGAAGGTTATTGCAATTAAAAGTAAATGTATTGTGATCGAATTGTTTTGCACCTGGTCTGCAAAAATTCGTGAATGACATCTCGCAAACGACATCGAAATATTCTTTTCTTTGACAAAGGGTTCTCTTGACAATCTATCTTTCACAGCTGGATGTCAAGTTACAATCAAGAGAACAGATCTATTCATATTCAGGAAAAAGTGTTGTTTGTAACTACAATTGCATAATACAATAATTGTGGTTAGGAATTCTCTTTTTATAGCGTTTATGTAATTATAATTACTAGCGTAATGCTAGTAATTATAATTATATATTTGTAATTCTAACATATAATTATTGTATATTTATAGTTTATAATAATTTTCGATGTTAACTAAACTTTTCTATATAAAACTATAAATATAATTATTATCACTAATACAGGGTGGGGCAAAAGTCCCGCTACCATTTTGATTGCGCGCCATCTTGGTTATGTGACGTATAGCTCAGTTTAGCTTTAACCGTTGTGTTGTGTAGACGTCCAAATTTTATAATGGATAAATATACGCCATAAGAACGAGCAGAAATAGTGACAATATTTATTCGAAGACTAATTTCGCGAAATGGCGATTTAGCATGGCCAGCCAGATCTCCGGATTTAACAGCACCAGACTTTTTCTTATGGGGTTTTTTAAAATCAAAAGTTTATGTGAATAAGCCCCAAACGATTCAACATCTTAAAGACAATATTCGTCACGCAATTGAAGAAATTCAGCCTGAGATGTTGCACGATGTCATGAAAAATGTCTTAAAAAGAGCCGAAAGTTGCATAGCGAATCGCGGTCACCATTTAGCCGATATTCTTTTCTAATCATAACGCAAAAAAAATGTAAAGACCAAATAAACATTGTATGAAAACCAAACTGACTTATCTTTTCTTTGAACAAAGTTATAGGCAATCAAAATGGTAGCGGGACTTTTGCCCCACCCTGTATTATAACAGTAGTAACTACAAAACTGGAGCTTCTGACTATATTTACCATACAATTGTAGTCACAAACATTTTTCTCTCAGTGTAGTTAGCATCTACAGAGACAAGATTGATGACATAAAATAATTTACTTTAAAATACCGTAATTTGCCGCTCCTCAATGTCGTTTACTACAAGTTCATCACAAGTATGTTACTAGAGCAGAATGTACGATACAAACTTAAGGCCTAAGCGGAAATATGGCATGTCTAACTCAAAATATGTGTTCCTACTTTTGTGGCAGGCCCTGAAATAACGTGATGATGCGACTTCTTTACGAAACCCACGACAACTCAAACGTTTCTTTCATCGTAACAGTCACGGCTCAATTTTTTCCATGAAAGCTTCTATCATTTTTTTTTTTTTTTTTTTTTTTCATACAGAGAAATGATTTTCGAGCAATTTCCCGCGTCTAATCATGATAAAAAAAAGAAAGTGTGGTAGTGTCGTGTGTCATCTACTTGAATGTCTCGTTACACACTTACGAAATCGTTTCTTTCTCCTAAAAGCTGCTTGTGAACAGTTCAAGGAAGGTGACATATATTAAAAAAAAAAAAGAGCGGTATATATTAATCAGTGATATTCATTTAGAATCCTTAGTGTCTCGCTAGCTCCGTATCGACGGGCCGAAAGTTGACTCGGCGATAACTCGGTTTGTTTGCGCAAAAAGAAAAGAGCGTAATCGATTTCGCGCCCGGCCAAAGAACTTTCGCCATTAATCTCATTAGGCGTGGATTTTACAAACAGTAAAAGATCGGTTTCGCACTATTGATCAAATATGGTATGTTTTCAATGTAAGTGAAGTATTCGCGTCTATAGCGTAATCGAGATAACGAAATCTTTTAGTCTTTCTTTACGAGAGAATCGTTCTCGAAACGCGAAGCAAAGTTTCTCTGCGCGTGTATTTTTAACAAGCGTGAACTTCCAGAGATCAAATACGGTTTCCGATGAGGAAGTTATTTCCCGTCGTGACAAGAGCGTGACAATTAGAACGGAAAGCGATTTTTAGCGCTAAGAGCCTGCGACACACATATTTCAATTTAGATCAGGATCGTCGTCCCTTGGCATGTTTTATTAGAAAGGAGCACCACCTAAATGTGGAAACAGCTTAGGGAGTCCCGGGGCGGATCTGCACATTTTCAAAGACAGTCATCTTTATCTAATCCGACATTGTCGAATATTTCGATATTTCAAGGTAAATAATTTACAACAGTTCCATAAATTAAGACTTCTTTACTGCGTCTTACTGCTATCTTAGATTGTGATATTAAAAGCAAGAAAGCACTCAATAAAGCTTCTCAAATTATATTTGAACAGAAATCATTTTTAATAAAGCAACATTTGCAATCGATAGAATAAACTTATAAGATAAATCAAAAACTACTTTTTGTGTTTAGGGAAGAAATTAAATCATATTTATTTCCCATATACATATGGATGATTCAGAATAACTTTCGGTCCATGAAAAGATATATACGTTCCTGACTTAATTGTAACAAGGAAAAGCGCACCTAACTTGGAAATTCAAAATATTATTGAACTTTAGCAATAAGTACATAGGATATCTTGACATGTAATAAACAATTTTTTTTGCTGTCCAAATTCATTTAAACAAAATAAAATCAACTTTGAAAATTATTTCATTCATCGTTTTTATTTTATTATTTGACGATAACAGAAGATAGAACAAAATTTTAGAAAAAAAATTTATTTCTTTTAATAAGATTTATAGATTAGAAAATTTTTTCAATGTTTAAAAAAATGAAACAGAAGCAATTATTCTCAATATTAATACTCCCTACAATACTGGCTTTTCTATAATACTGTATGAGATATTAATACGTGTTTTACTTCACCATATTTACAGTTAGTTGAAATTAACTACTTCCGATATATAAAATATGTAGAAAAACCGGAATACACATATATTTACAAACTAAATATATAGTTTTATATATATATATCAAATTTTTTTAAGAGTTATGAAAGAAATATTATTTCATATATTGTACAATTTAAATGTCATCGTTACAAATAATTTATTTATATGCATTATTTTTAGAATTTAATCGGTAAAGGTACGATGCTAAAATATTTTATTTCTTACATAATGTGTAAATAGTAAAGTATTAGTAGTTGAATCACAAAAAATTAGAAAAAAATATTACTATTTATAATATATAATATATAGTGGAGTGCGAGAAAGTATTTCATAATTTATGTTCTTTACTTAAAGAATAATATAAATATTGAGGTCACATTTTTTGTACTGTTAATGATATTATTGTCAATGATATTATTTATTATTAATAATATAAATATACAGGATCTTCAAAAAGTCCGGAAGCGCTAAAATATCTCGAAAACGATAAACTACAGCGAAAAATATATAAAAAGCAAAGTAATAAAATGTACTTTAATAATGATAAAAGTTTGACTTTGGGTAGAATTTACAGTGTCATATAAGAATCAAATTGAATTCTCTTATAATGGAATTTTTTTTAATAAATTATTTTTTCGTTAAATAAATCTCAAATTTTGAGGTTTGAAACTTATAGTACCGTCATTTGTTTCATCCAAAATGTCCGACTGACGATTAAAAATTTTGGAATATTGTTCCCTTTGAATATTGTTCAGAGTCATGATCCTGACATATCATATGTCAAGGTCAAGACCATTGAAAGTTGTTCCTCTTATTTTCCTTTTTAATGTAAAAATGGATTTTAAGTGCAAAACTAAAAATAGGAAGGAAAAATCATTTACAAAAATGTGCAATAAAAAATAGACAGTTCTATTACAAACAGACAAGAATTAAGATTTTATGAACTTTATTAATATTTACAATAATTAAAAAATATAGAAAATAATATCTTATGTTAATGAAATACATCTCAGAATCAACCAGATCTTTTCTATCCATGCAGTATATTTGGAATTGTCTCTAACTTTTCTCCTTACTGTTATCGCGAACGCCGTGTTTCTTTCCTAAAATCTATTCCCTACTTTTCTTCAGAGGTTTAATTGAATTTGGAACACATATATACAACAGAGAACTATATAATCTATAACAGTTTTGGAAACGATGTTCGATCATAATAGACATGACAATTCTGTTCACAGGACTTGCAAATGCTAACGCTACCAATATACTACCTTGGAAAGTACAGCGTTGATAGGATGCAGTTATTGTAATAAAACGCTACTATTAATAACGTTATTTATGATTATATTTGTTAGCGCTATCTGCAGCTCCGCAAACTTTAGTTTGTAGCGAATGAAATATCGCGAATAGCATCTTTCCGAAACACACTCTCTATTTCTTCTTTTAATTCAAAAACTAAACCTCGGACAAAATTTTGGTAAAGGAAAAATCATCTTAGAATCATGTAGAAATATTTTTTAAGGACACCGGGATTGTTCTAAATCACCCCGTAATATACTATATTATTTGATTTCCAAATATATTTATTAATTAACAAAATAGATTTTCAGCATATTTTACAAGTCGGTTCTATCGATTGCAAATATTCATTTTGAAACATATATTTCCATATATACGAGTATATATATATATATATATATAAATATATTTTGCAAGAAATTTTATTGTACAATATATTTTTTCACTCCTGAAGTTACGATCTAAGATAGTAATGAGAAGGCTTTAAAGCTACCAATAAAATTGCAAATTTATTCCAAGTAAATTATTCCGTCAGATATGATGTCATAGAAGAGATATAGTGATTTTAAATATTAAATAGTTCTCAATATCATCGAATTGCTAATTTATAGGCTGTATCGTTAACGATACAACCAGATTCTACCGAGAAAAAGTAGACAGATGACTGCCGTCCACCCCGGGACAGACTTCGTTACCGCTTCCTCGTTCGCCACCGACTCTTACCTGTCACATCATTGGAGGAGTTGCTGCCGTTGCTGGCATAGCCGTTGGCGATGCCTGATGTCGAATTGCTGCTGGTCGTGCTCTTCGCGGGCGACATCGCGGTGCCCGACGATAGCGACGAGATCGACGATCCCCCGCTGAGGGGAATATTGCTGCGCATGTGATTTCTCGCGTTTGGGGTGGATGGGGCATCGGGGGGGCCAAACAGGCGTTTGTATGAATCATTACCGGGCTTGTTGCTGCGAGGCGACACAGCAGCGGTCGCGTTGTCGGTGCCGTTGGTGTCGCCGAAGAGGGCCGAGCTCAGCTGGGACTGATTGTGGGCCTTGATGCGCCGTGGGCTCGTTTCTTCCGGGGCCGCGCCGAAAATATCGCTGCTGCCACCACCGGGCGGTTTCAACACCCTGAAATCCAAACGAAAGGCGCAACGATAAGCGGAAAGAACCGAGGAAAGAGAGATTTGAGATTTAAAAGTAAACAATTTTTGTCTGTCAAAGAGAGTATCTCCGCGCTAAGAATATTTTTATGTAGATTGTGGATTGAGTGGATAACAAAACTTTCCTTCTTTTCCTTTTACCTCTCCTTTTTCCAATTTCTGACACCTAGATATACGTTACAGGGATGAGCGATGTTAAAAAGAATAACTCGAATGACAAAAAAAAAACTGATTTTTAAAAACATTCGATTTTCCATAATCGAGAATCTCTGGAAAAATCGATTAATCCAAAATGTTTTAATATAGTTTAATATTTATCTCTTTAAGAGAAAACTAATCATTTTTGAAGATTAAAGAAATTTCTTTTTCTTTTAACATTTGTTAAATAATAATTATTCGAAGTTCTTGTTTTTCAGTACAGTAGTAGGATATCGGAACGCAGTCATAGTGTTATTTTTCTACAATTTCAATAATCTGAAAAAATTCAAAATTTCGGGTTTTTTTAAAGCAGACAAAACCGCCCGAGTTTTTTTCAGGATGGGATAAAATAATGCCATCGTGTCAAGATTAATTATATGCGGCGAAGCACTGACAGTAGTCGAATCCACTAACTTTGAAATCGAATTGGACACGAATATCCCTAGTTTTACATCTCGATAAGCAAATACGCCGACAACCAGCACATAGAGAACACAGACGACGCAATTTGCGAATGCAAACCCACGCTGATTTTCGTTTAACGAGGCGCAATGCATGCGGCACGCGCACATTGCAGCATTGTCGCGTGCGTATGAAAGCTAAAGAGAAAAGGGTAAAAAAAAACTGGGGGGGGGAGGGGAATTAGCTCGAATAATTAAGAATATGAAGCGCTTCCTTTTTCTCTCCGAAGTATTATACTTTGGAGATGAGAAGAGAAAGGAGCAGGCGGTTCAACTAGAAGCGTAATATCAATTAGGGAACGACGCGTGTTCTGTGCGTGTCCCCCATTTTTTTTAATCGCTCGTAGAATATTACCTAACTCGGAGAACAACTGCTTTTATCTTAGAGAATTAACAACGAAAGTCAATTGAGTTAAATGAAATAGCAATTAAACAATAAAACGTAAATGACAGCTCAATAGAAATTTGAGAAATTTGACGATTTGTCTAACAATAAGTGACAAAGGAGTATCTTGAGCCAATGCATGTAGATTAATAACTACACAAACATTTCGACTATTAATCTGGCCATTCTCAGTGTGGTAACAAAAATTCAAATATATGTAATCTCATCGCCACGTCATAATAAAAAACCGTTGATGTGCATTAAGAAATGAATATCCGCTTCAAAACTCTCCAAATACTCACAAGAATGTTATAATCAAAAATTGATTACATCATTTTCAATATTATTCTCTTCGAGAGCCAATACAATAATAAATATCAAATACAATATAATTTCAGCTACTCACAGAGTGTAAAATCCATGCAGTGGAGAACAATAATATTCAAGTGAAAGAAAGAAGATTCAGAATTCAAATTGGGGAGATACGTCATTTTGCTTATTGATACCAATAGCCTTCCCCCCCCCCCTCCAATGGATTATCTCTTAGACACTATTCTTTTAAGATAAAGGCTCATTATCCAAAATCGTAACATTTTCCCAATCAAATTCATGTTTTGCGATCATTCTATACTCCGAAATAAGGTATAATCACTGTTTTTTATTAATATCCCTTCCGTATTCACTGACACTCGTTTTTAACTGCCTCTTAGTCTGCCCTACATATGTTGCATCAATCTCAAGACAATCAATCTTGTCGCTACATCACATTTAGACATCTTATCTTTTCCAGTACCTATATCATGAACTTATTTAATTTATTAATGTGGTATGATAAATACAACTTAACTATTAATCATTTTCGCAGCAATTGATTTATGATGACTGTAGTATATTAATTGTGTACATGACATTCAGTGTTGGCTCAAGATAACCCTTTGATACTTAGTTAGACAAATCGAAAATTCTTTATAATAAAATACTTTATCAACAGAAGAATGACTTAAGTATCAATTCGATTAAATATTGGAATTACTTTACAAATTTTGTTTAAATTTATTTAAAAAAATATATATATATGGACCGTTTTGAAAAATTAAGATCTGTATCAATTTATATATAAAATCTTTTTCGGACATTCTTAATGTATATTACATGCGTGAACACACATACACGCATGCATGTACGCACGCACGCAAAAAAAAAACATTTTCGATGAAGTGAGCAAATTTGCGAAATGATACCGCAGAATAAATAATCGTGCGTTGCACTCATTTCGAATTAACAAATGATAGTAAGAAATCATTAATTCGCGATCAAGGAAACGACGTTCCGGTTTAATTAATGACGCGCGGCCTTCATTGCGTGGCGTTGCATCTTGCGCGTTGCACTATCACGATGATGAATGGACGTTTCCGCGTTATTACATCTCGCTTGATTGCATATCAGAGAGAAGTTGATAGAAATGTCGGAGAGCCGTGCGCAGCTAGATTTTGCGAAATCTTCTGTTAGTTTATTGCAGCATCACTAATGCAGGATATATCTTTATCGAACGCACAGATTATTAAACATTAATTTGCAATCTCTCATTCCATTTCTTTTGAATCGCTCAATCAAGGTTTTGCAATGTTATACATCCTTTCGTCAGTTTTATTTATTAATTATACTGTACGACGCATTTAAACTTCTTTTTCTACATCACGAACGGGACAAAGTGATTCATACAGATTTTTTGTCGCTAAAAATGAATTGTCGTGTAAATGAAATTGCTTATTCATTAAAAAAAAAAACTTACTTAAAAAATAATCTACAAAAATTAAAATTTAATAATATATATAAACAATAATTTATTTAA